TTTTTATACAGTCATGTGATGGTGATTTGTAGACCACAAAGCTCTGAAGATCATTTCCTTCACAGATGTTGGAGAAATCTACATTATTTTACAGGAAGAGAAAGCTTCTTTATACTGATACTGGCATTTCACTACAGCTAAATAATCACAAGCTCAGATACAATGAAATGTCAGTAAAATTTCATTTTCAAACTGGCTGGTCTCTGTTATCCTCTTTAAAATTAAATCTATAATTGACCACTAAAACACCTAGCTCTTTATGCAATCATTCAAAATAGCAGACTTGAAAATTTGCCTTACTTGATAAACTTGCAAAAATAAAAGTCATTTAAATGAAAAATCAGTTACATGAATTAAAAATCTTGTTTCTAGATCCCAAGAGAATTATCATACCAAATTAGGCTATGCCAGTTAGATACTTAATTATCTTGTCCAATGTCTGATTGTCATCACTGAGAAAGATATTAGGCAACAACATGAAAAAGACAAATGTCTTCTTAACCATGTGCCACTAATATTTTCCTCATCCCCTGAACCCAAAGGTTTGTATCCATTTTCCATATTCATATGATGTCCAAATCCTCATCTACATAAATATTTAGCTGTTTTCAGCTGAGCTGTTTCATTCAGTGTCATCCGGCAGCAAAAATATAATATAATATGATATAATATGATATGATATAATATAATATAATATAATATAATATAATATAATATAATATAATATAATATAATATAATATAATATAATATAATATAATATAATATAATATAATATAATATAATATAATATAATATAATATAATATAATATAATATAATATATAATATATAATATAATATATATAATATAATTTTAATGGGATTAAATTTAACAAGTCCAAATGGCAGATTCTGCACCTAGGATGGAGCAACACTGGGCACAAGTATACACTGGGAAGGGAGTGGCTGGCGAGCAGCCCTGCAGAAAGGGATCTGGGGGTGCCAGTCGGCAGAAACGTGCCCTGGTAGCCAAGAGGGCAAACCACACCCTGGGGTACATCAAACATGGCATAACCAGCCGGTCAAAAATGGTGATTATCCCGCTGTATTCAGCATTGGTGCAGCCTCACCTTGAATATTGTTTGCAGTTCTGGGCCCCACAATTTAAGAAGGATGTGAAGCTCCTTGAATGCATCCAGAGGAGGGCAACAAAGCTGGTGACGGGTTTGGAGAGGAGGTTGAGGGGTGACCTCATTGCTCTCTCCAGCTTCCTGAGGAGGGGAAGGGGAGAGAGAGGTGCTGAGCTCTTCTCCCTGGGATCCACTTGTAGGACGTCTGGGAATGGTTCAAAGCTGCATCAGGGGAGGTATAGACTGGACATTAGGAAGCATTTCTTTACCAAGAGGGTGGTCAAACACTGGAACAGGCTTCCTAGAGAGGTGGTCAATGCCCCAAGCCTGTCGGTGTTTAAAAGGCATTTGGGCAAAGCCCTTAAGAACATGCTTTTTCAGGGTCAGCCCTGAAGTGGTCAGGCAGTTGGACCAGATGATAATTGTAGGTCCCTTCCAACTGAAATAGTCTAGTCCATAGTAAAATATAATATAGTGTAATATTTACTGATATTCACTTTTCTTTGACCTTATCCCAATTTCATCTGTTCCTGATATATAACTCTATTGTGCATGTGTAAACCATAGGGAAACTCTTTTTTCAAAGCCTCTGAAGCCCATGAATGAAGACAATTTTCTCTCCTTGGCATATAATAAGATTCTTTCACTGACTGGCTTTATGCAGCTGCATAGACGCAGTGCAGTAGTGACTGAACTCAACAGCTGTCTTAATGTACCTGTCCCCTCACTTGTTTTATCTGTGACTAATGGTGTCACTGTTCTTCCTGCCACCCACACTTTCTAAACTAGGTGTCATTTGTTTATTGCTTTTTTGGAGCACTTCATTTTCACCACCATCTTCATTAATATAAAATTTCTCATTCTCAGCTTCACAACCCTGCAGGATGCCCCTTTAGCTTCCTTTTTTCCCTTCTTCATATGTTCACGAACTATTCCAATTCTTTTGTGTCTTTTCATTCTCACAATTCAAGTCTCAGTATTGAACCTTAAAGCAGAAACTCCACCAGCACACCAGGGCTTTTCTTTCATGACCCACTCTACTCATGCTTCTGGCCTGCAGCATCAAGAGACATAGCTGCATTTAGAAATATCTTTTGGCTTGCATGCATCGTCAGCCAGACACATGTGTGGGCAATAATATATAAATTTATGTTTTATGTGGCTACAAATATTTTAGGAACAGCAAATCACCCTTGAATTATTTTGCTGTTGTGTTTGACATTTCATGTTATTTTTGCTAGTTCTGGAAGAGGGAAGATGGTGAGGGGGAATGAAACCTACTGTCAATATTTTTCCTGTGAAGGTTCATGGCATCTTTACCATTAACTGTCTTCAAACGCTCTTAATTTTGAGATAAATACTTTACTGTGCATAGTGGGCTGAAAGGAATAGTATACATTTATGCAGATTTTATTAATTATTATGAACCTCAGAAGCTTAGTTTTTGTACTGTGTGGTGGGTTCAAACTTGCTGTTCTCTAAATTTCCTTGCCCTGGAACATATTCTAATGTTGGACTGTCACTGCCAAATTTTTTTGTGGACTCTCATCAGAATCGGAAAGGTCCCATTAAAATACAGTTGTTGAGACTTAGTTTTTGATGTTATGGAAGGATTCATTAGCACCTCAGCTGAATTCAAAACCAGAAGAGGAATTTTGGTTACATGTGAAAATAGGACTGTTAAGTTTTACCTTGGTTCCTATTTGGTTTTAGGACACCCCTGTGGGGAAAGAAGAAAGCAGTGTTCTCAGCCTTTGCTGTGGACATTCAGTTTTACAGATTCTAAATTGGTGGAATATGGTCCTGCTTGTTTACTGACAGAAATATCCCATAATAAATTACTTCACTCCAAATCTCTTCTTCTGGTATCTGCCATGAAGCTCCAGTGCCCAAGTCAGTGTTACCATATTAGCAACTCAAATGGCTTAAAAAAATATATAAAAATGTGTAATTTTATACAAATTTATTCTTTCTACTTAAAGTGGTTTTCTACTTATTTCTGGGAAAGCAACAGAGGAACCTGAATATGTTACATTAGAGCGGATAACACCTGTAGCACATGTGATGCTGCCAGGTGACACTGACATAATGTTATCCATGGAAAGCTACAGTTAGCCACATGTTGGGATGGAGAAAGACCAACCCACTCCATTCAGTCATCTCAGGAAGCTGAGGCGGTTGAACACAATTCTGGTCTGATCCTGGGTGGGCAGCAGAGAAACAGGAGCAAGACCCCAGCTACTTAGGAGCCACTGCACATGTTCCTCTGCCTTTGTTTTATTTTAAGAGCAAGTAAAACCTCAGTAGGAGTTTGGTTTTCTCTCATGACAACAATCTACAGCCATCACAGTTTTTGTAACATCTAATGACTTAATTAAGACAGTGGGTGAGAGGAATTATTCAGATCTTCGTTCAGCCATTACACTGGCCTGGAGAAGGGGAGGAGGGCTCTGAAGGCTCACATCTGTTGAGTGACATGGAACTACACCACCAACCCAGGAAGCTGTGTAAGAAAAAAAAAAGTGTTTTTCAAAAAACAGGAGAACCACCTTGCCAGGAAATACACAGCAGCCTGGAACTGTCTCCATCAGACAAAACAAGCAGTAGGAATGGAAGGAGACATTAACACCAAATCCTGCCCCAGTGAATTCAGTTGCAAAATTCTCATTACTTCAAGGGACCAAGACGTTGCACCTTGCACTCACCTGTGGGAGTGTGTTTTCTTAAAACGATTAGGAGAGGCTGAGGAATCACTTTCAATAGCCCATTATGAAATAAATGAATCCTAAAAGTCTACTGGCCCCCACCTCTTGCTGTAACTGTTTGCTTAAGCTAATCTTCCCGGTTCACATAAGTGAAGATTAAAGAGGATGATAAAAATCAGCTAATAGCTAATGAAGAAGGTTTCCTCTCTCTTCCTGGTTATAGTTCAGCTTATTTCATTACCTGATTTATCATCTCTAATGATGTCTAAGCACACATGGAAGTGGGGGACATTTAGGAAACAGCAAATTGGTCCTTGCTCCAACAACCTCTCTGTGTACAAGGTGGCAGAGGTGATAATATGTCCCAGAATGGGAACTTAATGGATTTATCTGGTGGAATATTACATTTCAGGGACAGAGAAGTGAGAACAAGAGGCTTCATATGGCTAATTGCTTAAATAATGTGGAAACTAGATGAGCTTGAAAATGGAATGAATAAGAAATTGTGCAGAGGCAAGGAGAGTAAATGACTCACTTTGCTTCTCTAACATAATAGTGAAAATCTGGCAGGTATTTGGTGCTAGGAAGTAACAGTGTATTAAAATTTGTAGAAGTGGTTGGTTAGAAGCAAAATGAGCTCTGTGTAACACAACATTTACTTTTTTATTCTGAATTCTTGTACACAAAGTGTTTGGCTGAAAAGAGAACAAATTCATACTTATCATGTGCACGTATAAAGCAGACATCTTTCTGGGAAATGCAGGGTGAAATATCCCCACATAAGTCACTGGGAATTTTTCTTTCAACTGCAAGGAAGCAATCCAAAGAAAATAAGAGATGAAGAAAATTAGCATAATCAGCTCATGTTGTTTAATCCCTCTGGTCCACCTCAAGAACAGTCTCTGGGTGTTACTGGTTAACACTTTTAGCCCAGCCAGGTTTATATGACCTGTAATTTCCCTATTCCACTGACTGTTGTAACTGTCAGATAGCTCACAATGTGCATCTTGGATTTTGTAGAAAGATGCACTGCACGCAATATATTTTAGACGTATAGTTATATTAAGTGTAATGGAGAAAAGAGAGCACAGAGAAATATGGGAGCTACAAAAGAAATGCTTTCAAATCTGATTATTTTATATAGGTATATTATGTGTATATTTCTGATTCCTTCCTTTAAAAAAGCTGATAAGATTTGGTAGTGACTGGAGTGATGACCATGATGGAGGTTGGTGATGGATGACAGACTGAAGAACACAAAAGGAGAAGCAGGGATTGTAACAGAAGATTTATGAGAAAATCAGAAATCTGTTGAAAGCTGTGTTGTTTCCATCAGACAGCATGAGCACTGAAGGCTCAGAACTACCACAGGTAAGAAATTCAGTTTATCTTAAGCAAGTATTTATGTCTCGCTTAAGTAATGTTTGGCACCTGTCACTATAATGTTTATGTCAGAGACATAAAGTTCTCTCAGACTTTATTTCCAACAAAAGAGCTGCAAAACCTATCCTTCAGTTCAGTCAGTTTCCACTGACTAAGGTGAAATAACCCGCAGATAGCTTCCATCTGAAATGAACTGAATATGCACTGTTTGCAGACCATGCAGTGCATGCCACAATACTACTAGAAGAGTAATTTGATACAAATTACTGTTATTAATGAAATTCTTGCTGTTACAGTAGAAGAAAGGAAGTTAAATGGCAGCTGTTCTTATAATTTTCTCCTGAGAGTTGAAAAACACTTAGATTTAGACACCTCTGCTTGATTAGGTGCCATTAAACAGAAATAATGCCAATTGTGTAGAAACTTTCCTCATTTGTCATGTACTCATCTGGTTTCCTTAGTTCTGGTAAACTCAACAATATGACAACAGCTGATAATATGGATTTATGGCCAAATGTTATTCCGTTATATAAAATCTAGATGTTATTCCAGTACACAAAATCTGAAAGAGGAAAAGGTAAAACCAGCGTATTATGCCAGTTGCTGAGACAAAAATCTTGACAGAAATTGAATATTGATTAAATTTGGCAACATAATTTGGTGGAATGGGTGGTTCCAAATAGCTCTAAGAATGCTGAACAAAGATGAAGAGATACTGACACTAGAGGTGGTCCCTGTATAACAGACTTTGGGGAATGGCTACAATTATTTTGTATTTTCTAGAGATTAATTTGGCTTTGTAATATGCAAAGTTCACACACACACACACATACCTATGAATCATTTTTCAGTGGCACATCTATAATTCTTACAGATGTTATCTTGCAACACAAGAAGAAAAACATTCCAGTCATGACAGTTTCTGTTTTTAAACTAGATTCTGAAAAAAATAAAAAAAGCAAACAAAGGAAGTGCTACAAAAAACTGCAGCCATGAGAGAGAATAATAATGGCATAGGCCACTTAGTCCTCGATAGTCAGATGCATTACTCTGAGCTCTAATGTATCGAAGCTTTCCATGGCTTTCTTCCCCTCCTCCCACAGTTACCAACAGCATGCATGGTTAAGAGTATGAGCAAGACCATATGACTTATTTTTTTTCCTGTGAAGGACCTCATCAAAAGGGATTACAGTGGTTTTTCAGGGTTGGTTTTTTTTTATTATTTCAATATTTTGCTTTCGTTAAAAATTTCAATCCAGACTCCCAAGGAATATTCTTTCTAGTTAAAAAAAAAGATAACAGAAAAGTAACTGAAGCTGTTAGCTTCTGTAGTTACAATGTTTATCATATGTGAACTGCCAGTTTTTGGGACATAAGACAATGAAAAACAGTGTAATCAAGTTTTCAAAGGATGTCCAACACTGCTCAAGGATCTGTCCTTACCCTGCTTCTTATGCACAGTCCCATCCTCTTCCTCAGGCCAGCAGTTGCAATCGTGTGTTCAAGTGATAATCCCAATCAGGGAACTAACTAATCGGGGAGGGGGAGAAAGGGGGCTGAGTCCATACTCTGGTTCATTGTATAGCCACGTGAGCTCCATGCTGGGATAAGGGGAGGCCACTGAACAGTGTTGCCAGGAGAAAAAACAAGGGATCACCCACTTCACCAGCAGCACAGGAGTCCATCAGTTCAACCAGATCAGGAAAGTTTACCCAAATGGCCCGATCCAAATCCTGCTAAAGCCAGTGCAAACACTCCGCATCGTCTTCTGTTTGGCAGTATTTCAGAGATGGTTGACCAGAGAAAGCACGACTCCATATAGCAGCACTACAGACACCCTTGCCAAAACACCTGGGAATAGTAGAAGAGGGCACTCAGGAGTCAGGGCTGCTCCTGGAATCATCCACTGCAACTTTGAAAAGCTTTCTCACAGTGCTGAGCAGTAGGGAGTGAATCCTGTTTAATAAGACTCTGGGTAGGGACCAAGAATTTGGCTCTCAGAAAGGAAAACACAGCATATTTTTTGCTGACAGTGCAAACAAAGATCCTTTTGTAAGAACTGCCATGCCAGACAAGTATGTTTTCCATAGTTGATATCTGAAGACTTTTTTTATCTGGGGAAAAATGAGGGTGCAATTCCAGGGACATTTCTTCAAGAGCAGTCCTGGAACATGGCTTGTGTGGGAACACTGAGCTGGGCTGAGGAACTGCCCAGCCAGTAGAAGGGAAACAAATTTTTCTTCCAGGTTTTTTTTCCAGCAGGGTGCTTCTTCCAGTTCATTGCACCATGAAATTATGCTGTGTAGCTAGATAGAGTGGAATAGAGTAGAGTAGAACAGAACAAGACACATCAGAGTGGAATAAAACAAACGGTAGAAACACTCCATCATTTTCTATGTAGATATTAATTATGAATGTTCAGTCAATATACTGATGCAAGTTATTAAGTATTCATAGTAATTTTGATTCAGTTCATCTGCATCTGATATTATCTGAAATATCAATATGCTAAGTTTTTTGAAATTAATAATGACTATTCATACTCTTGGGTATGCTAGGGTAGAAAAGCATCAAGAATGTTCCTTTTAGCTATTTCTCTACCCCGCTGTTATAAAAACTGTCAATGGCAGAATTTCCACAGCTCTCTAGGAAGCTCATCTCTGTGCTGAGCTGCCTTTGTAGCTGGAAACCTTTCTGCAGTACCTAATGAATAATCCTTTACTGTATATGATGTCATCCTTTTTCTCCTGCCCTCAAAGGTAATGCAGAAAATGTGATCACCACTGGACCTTTTTTCCTCAAAAAATCAACTGGTATATGGATATATTTTGCTTTGAAGGCTGAAGTGGTTTTAACCAAGATAAATAAATCTTATCTTACATGAAAAAATGGGGATGACTGAATTACGCCTTCTTCCTCAACCTCATATATAACACCATCCTTTGCAAGAATATTTGAAACTTCTTGTAAGGTGGCAGTATTTTCAAATAAGCAGAAGAAATCATTCCTGCACCCTTTCCACTTATACTTTTGAGTACTGAAACATTTAAAGCTTCCGTTTCATTCCTTGTTCATGACAATCCTAGCTGCTCAGAATACGCATATGGAAATCAGGTTAACAGAAGTCTTAGCTATGATGAAAATGCATGGAAAAAAGCCCTTTCCCCTCTTTGTGGTATGTTCTGTTTTGTTTGTATCAGCCTTCTTTCCCAAAACCCCTTTCCCGCTCTTTAGCTCCACTGCAAGCAAGGTGATTGTACAGGCTGGAGTTTTTGGACAGCATTAGTGTTTCAGCCCACCCTGAGCAATGACAGAAAACTGGACTTTCTACAGGGGATCCATTCTCTGCCTGGTCCATAAGTGAATGCAGCCCCTGGGTGACCCGGTGCGGTGTTTCCCATGCAAGCGTTAGCAATACTCCAACAGCACACTTCGCGCCATCGCGCAAGATCACTACTGTGGCTTACTGTGCACGTGTCACAACTGAAATGTAGACTGAAGCCCACAATATCATCCCCCCCCATTGTGAGCCTTTGAACCTCCTGTTGAAAATGCACATCCAGAATTAATCAAATTCTTTATTTCAGACTCTTAGATTCCTCACTAGTAGCAACTTCTCACGTAGCTACCTCATCATTACTGTTAGTGCCTCCACTGCCAGCAGAGGCTCCTTCTGTCCTGGAGAACAATGACTTGGCTTCGGTTATCCACACATCTATGACATCTCACCCAGATTACAGTGATAGAACATGTCTGGCCCTAAAACCTTTGACAAATGTCTCTAATACTGCCCCATCTCTTCACAACCCTGTCCTTTGGTCCCTATGCCAGTTTCCATTACAAAATGTAATTACATTCAAGACCTCTGTCCTGACCTTTGGAGGAACCAGTGACCTGTGCCCAGAATATCTGAAAGATCAGCTAAAGCCTACAAATTAAAATCACTGCCAGCAGTTCAGTTCCCTACTCAAGTGGAGTATCTTACAATGACAGTAAAACTCCTTGGTCTAGAAAGTCACACTGCTTGTAGTCCTGGTCCAAAACTATGAAATGATCTCTCACAAGTTTAGAGACATTATGGGCATCATGACATTTTGCTCTAAGTGGTATGTGTATTTCTTCAACTTAGTCTTCTCTAAGAACACAGAGTATTTCCCTGCTGGGAAATGCCAGGTCAGTGAATAGAAGCTTTGTAGAAACTGAATTTTGAGCCCCTACTTGGAAGCAAATACTTTGCATTCCTAAATTTGCACTTCTAGCCAACTCATTTTTGAGTCGATAAACTAAGAGCTTTATCCAGTTACCAATGGCTGGAACACTAAGCAGAATTATTCTACTTCTAAGGAAATAAAAGGACTGCTTGCAGTTCTGGAAAGGATTCAGAAATTGCCAGTCCTTGATAGTTGACTGAGAGGGAAAAGTGTCAGACTGTAAAGAAGTATCTAAATGCATTATATGCTAATCCTTGCCCCTCCCCATGCCAAAGTTATGGAAGAAAAGAAGGAAATAGTAACAGCAAAGTGAAGAATTAACAGCGGGTTACAATTCACTATAATTTAATAAGGCAAGAAAAGACATCTCCTGCCAGTTGTGAGTGGATGCTGGATCAGAAAGCCCAGAGCAGGGAGACGATGTTGAGGTAATACTTATAACCTATTTGTGTGGGATTCTTGTGTGGCTTTTTCAGCACTGTGCTATAGCAGAGCCAGGCACTAAGCGGGGGGCAGCCCAGGTGCAAGACTGGCACCATGTTGCGTCACTCGGGAGCGTGTCTCACATCAGGGATACCAGTGGGGTCAGAGGGGCTTGTCTCCCTGAGTGCTTCTCCCCTCCCCCTGTACACATACAGCTGTAAATTATTGCAGGTTTTGCTACCTTTTGTTATCTTACAGTTCAACCATTACAAGGATAATGAAAATAATGTTAACGTTTTTAGTCTTGACTGTGAATTATTTAATTCTTACAACCAGAACACCTGTTTGGCACTTTCCTTCCTCCCACAAACCATGCCTGCCATCTTCTGGCCACGCCACCAAGCATCTAGGGGCTGGCTGGAAATGCACCTTCAAGTGTCTGTACTGAATGGGCTTTTCCAGCTCTTAACACAACCAAGCAAGCAAGCAAGTTGAAATTAAATTTTGCTTTGGGATGTGAAGTTCCCCTATCACAGAATAATTTAGTTTTCAAGCTGTGCAAAACTCCTCTTTCTTGATTCATAAGGATTTCAGGATTTTTTCCTTTTATCTTCAAACCTGCAAATATCCTGAGGGTTTCATTTATTCTAAGTCTAAAGGAGACATTCAGCCAAAAGAGTCATTATTATGCTTATTTTACATTTAAATCATAAGTTTCAGTGGCTTTTATAGGAAACCGATATTGGTTCCAAACCGGAATTATGGTTTTCATTAATATTTATTACACACCAACATTGCAGTGGAATGTGAGGCTGAGCAGAGTTCATGTGGTGTCAGGTTCCAACGCAAATACTTGATGTGGCTCTAATCAAAGCTAATGCCAGAGTTTGGTATCACCTTAGGAAACTTCAAGGAATTTTCTAACTAGGAGTAAAACCTTGTTTAGAAGCGTTAAATTCTGAAAACAATTCTTTGCTCTTTGTAATCTCCAAAACAAAGCTGAATCTCTTTCTGAAGAACATGAGTTATTTTAGGTATGAGAACTACCGGTTGATATTTCACAGCCTGTTATGCAGAACTTCGGATTGCATGCTCATAAATATTCCCCTTAAAGTCTATGACTAACCCACAAGAGCAGAATGATAACATTTTTTTTTTTCCAGGTTAAAGCCACCCTATAGGAAAAGTGAATCATGTCAAAATCAAAACACTTCATGAACTGCATTGCACTAATGAAATTGGGAGAAAAGTGGGAAAAGGATGGGATGATGTTTTCAAAACAGGACATTGATCTGCATTTTCTTTTCAATATCAAATGTAGTATACAGTATATCTTTACAATAAATGCATATAGTCTACATCTTATATGCATATTATACATATACACATTATATGTATCAATGCAAATAATATTGAATCTTGAATACTTGAATTGCCTAGAATTTTTATATTTTCAGTGCCTCAATTTTAAAATACAAAACTAGTTCATAAAATAGAAATTCTGTGCTCCACATCACTTGCAGTTAAGAGGGATAGAGTGGGAACTGGAGCCACCTATAAGCATGTAAAACACCAGTCAAGCTAGTTTCAGCACTCTCCAAAAATTTACAAGGCCATTTCTTATATCATTGATGCAGACTCTGCTATTCAGCCCTTAGTGGTAAACTTCCCTCATCAAGTTTAAGTCAAATGAAGGTCTGGGAACCATCCAGCTTTCCAAGACAAGCCATGAGGAGATGTCTTCTCTGGCATCTCTGGAGGATTCCACCTCTTCAAAGACAAGTGTCTAAGACAGTGGGTGTCTGTCTCTCATCACTGATTTCTCAGGAAGCCTGGATAGTTAACGCAGAGTAGGCTTTTAGACAGCAGTCAGCTGAGAGGAATCCTACCCCAGGCATTTCGAGATGGTGACAAAAACAAACAGCTGAAATGAGCTTATTTCTCTCCATCAGCAGAGGAAGTGAGGCTGGCTGACTGGATCTCCAGCTTCAACTCTTCAACATCAGGCAAAAGTCTGCTAGACATTAGTCCATATTTCTGCATCAACCCCATTAAGTTTATCACCATTTATACTAAGGTCTGGACCCCCTAGGACAAGAAAGACTAGACTGGTCATCGCTCCGAACCTTCTTTTGCACTATATTACAAATCACTCACGCTCTACTTCATGTGAGATAAAACTGTGCTACCCTCTTCTTCCCACCCCCTCCTCGAGATAGCAGCTATGCGCGGTCTGAATTACACTAGTCCCTCCAATCCAGCCTCATGTACAGTTAATACTCAGAGCTGTCATTTTGCTGACCTGATTCAATGATTTACAAACACGTTGGTGAAGGCCTTTCATGGGAGCAATGTTAGGATCCTTCTCTACCAGGGAAGATCTTCCAAGACAGCCATCTTTTCTGCCGTGACAGGTCTAGTTTCCAGTGTAATTTTGCATTACTTCTACTTTTGTCTCCCGCATGTTGTGTATGAACAAATACCTCCCAGATCAGCTCTTCTGAAGACTGAAATCATCCTGAGAGATGTGCCATTTTAGCTAAAACCAGAAAATTATTCCTTCCAGTATGCTTCATTAATCAAAAAAAAAAAAAAAAAAAAAAAAAAGCTACAGTGCAGAGCAGCTGTCACTTTCAATTGTTTTTTACTAGTTTTATATTAGCTAACTGGTGTTAGCCAGCTTGAAGTGGTGCCACTGGTGACCAGAAGTACAAGTTGAGCCTGTGAGCTGTTTTCAGTTATCAGGAACTAGCTAAATTTAGTAGCCCACAGATTAGCAAATAGCTCCTGTTTGGGACTGTGTATGCAAAGGGCAAAACGAGGGGCTGGGTTGTTCTGCATGGGACTTCAGAAAACTAAGCTTTTCCACTACAGTATTTTCTGCTGAGGTTTTGTACTGAGTTCAGCAAGGATGGCAATTACAATGTGAACCTCAAAACTGTTTGGTAATGCTGAAGATACTGAGAAGCTACTCAGAGAACACGGAGAAGCAGAGGAAAGCTCTGGCAGACAAGGCTCAGCCCAGTCATGACAGGGAGCTTAATGTTGCCACAGCTGGGACTTCCTTTACAAGGCAGGATTTTTCAGGAAGACCGTGTTTTCTGCTGTGATATGCCTAGTTTCCAGTAAATTCTGAATCTTTCCACTTGTCTTTCACAGAACAAGTAGCACAAATGGTAAAATTAATGTTGAGCCTTGCTCTTTGTTATTTCACTTTGTAACTCAGGAGTTCTGCAATTACATTCCAGATGTTGTTAAATATTTGACAGAAACAGTTCTACAAGGCCTTTGCTTTATGTATACTGAATTAAAATAGCCAAGATCTTGCCTTTCAGCTGTACAACTCACCACATGCAGCCACGCATTACATCATAAGGGGAAAAAAAGTTGAGTGTAATGTAGAATTATTTTCGTTAGCTATAAAACCCCCAGCATATAGAGCAAGGTTCTATATGTACAGCTGCTATTTAATTTGTGGTTTCAAAGGGAAAATTTTCATTAATGAGGTTAAAAATTAACACTGGATCTGCATTTTATTTATTGCATTTACAGCTGCATAACACAAAACATGGCTGAGATCAGAGAAACTGCTATGATGGCAGGATTTGCTCTTCCATGTGCTCCACATGAAATATCACAATAATTTCTATTTCTCCCTCTCAATCAGGCATACCATGTCTGAACTGTTGTCTAGCATTTGAAAAAATGAGCTGCCCCAGCTGTCAGGCTTTTCCAGCTTCCTGCCTGTTTTAGAAAAGACACATTTTTCTATGAATACTGAGATACTGAGATACTGAGCTCACAAGAAGTAATAGCCAAGAACATCTACAGAACAGAAATTAATATTGAAATCCAGAAAAATACTGAGCGTCAATTCCTAGGACAAATCGCAAGCATCTGCTCTGAGATACTGTAAATATATTTTACTACTTTAACATTCTATTTTTACTGAGTATCTAATTTGTAGTAAAGCATGCTGCCTTTTCTGCCATGGATTAGTAACAGGACTGGAGGGAGCTGGGGAGATCATTAAGAAAGAGCATGATAGCCAACAGGCAAGCACGTAATACTGGCTGTCTCTAGCAAGATGCACTTGAAAAATCAAACATCAAGGCAGGAGAAAATGTCATACTTAGCAGTAATAAAAATAAAATACAGAAGGATCTTTCATCATTCTTTTTGCTTGCTTAGTTAAGTCGTTAAATCAAGTCTGGAATACATAGCTCACAGCTCTGGAAAATCAAGCAAACCTCTGCAGCAGAAGCCACAATGTGTGTGTGTGGCGAGTTATGAAAGCCAGACGTTTCTCCATGTCGTGCTTGGAAAACAAAACAACAACAACAAACAGTGTAGGTGAAGGATCAGGAAGGAGCATTTCCCAAAGGCCCCAGCAGAGAGGAGAACCGGAGCCAAGAAAGGCAGACGTGAGCGCTGCCGGACACGGCCCCTCCGGCAGGAGCTGGGCAGCTGAGCTCTGGCAGCAACCAGATGCTGTTGTCCACAGCTGCCATCCTCGCAGAGAAAAGAGGCTGGTGGCAGGCGGGACACCTCTCCTCTAGCCTGAGAGACATCAGGAAGGCAGCTGCAGTCCTCAGACATATTCCGTGTCTCTTTTCTTGTCTCCTTGCTAAGTATGCTGGCCGTAGGAAATGGGTTAAGTATGCCAGTGAGCAACCGTTAATATAATTTCTTCTCTTACCACCCTTCTTTCACAAGAGACAAAACCCAAAAGCTATTTCTCTGCACAGTTTTATAGGAAATTTTAAAGCCAGAAACAGGAAGGCCTAACACATTTCTTCACATTATCTCTTTAAATAGAACGAGAAAGTTTGTTGTTAAAGGAATATGGGGAAAATTATAGAGCTAAGAGATTTTCCTCACGCAGATGTTGCACGTGCATGTAAGCTTTGTCTCCTGTCAGAGATGACCCGACACTCATCCCTGTGTTTTGACTCTCCAGTGCATGCCTTGCTTTATCAAGACACTTCTATGCATTTTGAACTTTCCAAGTGAGCATTTTCTTCAAATAACAAGCACAAAACCACCATCCTCTCTTGAGGGAAAAAGAATGAGTGCTCATATGTCATGGACATTGTCGCTTCATGCAAATGTGAAATTAAAGTCTACCTTTCACACAAACAAGTTATTACAATTAGTTTTGTTGAATGTTTACTATGATGTGGAAGATGAAAAACATGTTGACTGCAAAGGAATTGGTGGCATGAGACTTTGCAGAACAAAACAAGAACAAGAAAAACAAAGGGCAACTAGGGTTAAAGTGAACTGCACAGATTAGCACCTGTGAAAGGGAACCGATTGAGCGAGTCCTGGGAACAAAAAACACCTCATGCAAAACATAACGACTTGGCTCAGACTTTTGGATGCCAGCTGCACAGGACTCTTCATTCTATTTTTACATGGGAACAAGGCACCACTCGGGGAAAGAAGGGGCCTCCCCTTCTTTGGAAAGCATAAAACCACACTGCTTGTTTCAATAAACGATTTCGGTCCTCTCAAGTGGTGGTGTCTGTGCCTTCAGCATACCACACTATGAGTAAATTGCTTTCTGCTTTCTCAGCTTCTATCTAAGTCCATAGCACTTAGCTGTAGAGAAGGAATAAAACCCAAATTTAATACAACAACTAATCTTAAACTCAGTAATTTTTATGGGGAAATTCATTATATATTGAAAAGGTCCCTATGTCAGTGACAGTATTTACAGGTTTTACCTTCGCTTTTTGAATGTTATCTTGATTTGCTCTTTTTCTCTGCAGAAGAAGACACAGATATAGACTATTCCTGGGTAAAGACTACTGGCGTCTTTAATTATGGTATTAAAAATAGTCATGTGAGTGTAAATTGTTTCCATTAAACCTTAAGTAGTAATATGTTAGTCTTTAAATAATTTGCAAGTACCACATTGGAAGTGCCACATACAACAACATACAACAACAGTCCACCTGTACGGAACTGCAGGACAACAAGTTAGACGTAGGAAGTCTCCGCATCTCTCTGCGCTAGCCGGCAATTCACTCCGGCGAGCGGCGTGCACACTGGCAAAGCCACGAAGCTGCGTTGGGGCAGGCAGAGCCGAGGGCACACGCTGTCCTCCCAGCAGCTTCACCAAGGCACAGCTGGGTGTCACCCACAGGCTGAATCTGCCAAAGCCTACATTAATGAAATATTAATATTTGGCTTTTTAAAAAAATGCAGATTGGTCTCTCTTTTGCTAGACTATCTCCTAGGAGAAGAAAATCCACTTTAGGTTCCTTTCATGGCTCTTGGGTTTTGTTTCAGTCCAGCGTACAGACATTCTTACTAATGGTAATGAAAAAGCTGTCAAGACAAAATGAAAGATACACTGTACAGAGCTTTATTCTAATGTAAGAAATGCAAAATTATATCGGGTAATTCACCGAAAAGGGTATCTGGGAAGGAAAAATGAAATTTGGAAATAGCTGATGGACTGCTACATTCATAGCAAACTAAAGCAAATTTTTGACATGCAAATTTTGCACTGTTCTTCTTAGCAACCAACTCTTTTCATTCTTACAGAATTTACTGTTATTGTATCAGGCTAAATCTACATGTGGTATTTCAAGGCAAAGGTATCAAGTGTATTTAAAGCTTTTCAGGATCTTGTAGTCAGAAAAAAACCCCAGTACTCTTAAACTCCCCCTGCATTTTTATTCTTTTTACTTACAAAAATGTGATTTTTGCAAGACCCTGTGACTTTGTAATATCTGATGTAAGCATTGGTGTTAATCCAATAAAGCCTTTGGCTTGAACGGCTCATGAGAGCACTCAAGCAAAAGGAGGAGTTTTAAAAACTTAAAAGTTGTTTTGCCAAAAGGTAGTTTTAGATGTGGCATTGATCCTAAATGTGGCCTTGGCAGACTGGTATAGAAAATACGCAGTTCTACCATTCTGTAAGGTAATAAAGGTGGCTTTATGTCCAGATACTTCAGCACATGCTACTTACACAGCTGTAATTCGAGGAAACCATCAAACACTGCACTTGATAATTTGTATTTATGCAGTTCCTCTTGTTCTAAAAATCTCCAGCTGAAAACGTTAATAGCTTTTGAAAACATTTTGACCACTCTGAGCTGTCAAAAAAAAAAAAAAAAAATTTTACATGACTGAGAGTAAAACCCCAACCTTCTGCTACTTGCCATATAGACCATCAAAGAATCCCAGTGACTTATACTTGTTATTGAAATAAACTGATTGGCAACTTTCTGACTTATAGCCTGATATAGGAGGTGTATTAAATTGCTCGTAAAGCATTTCCAGGTGTCAAGTTCTTATTTATTACGAACCGGTTCCCTAGGGCATGTTCTTTTGTGCTGCCTTGTCACAGGGCGTAGGCTCGACACCTGACACTTTTTATCAAGTCAGGTACACACAGCCACAACAATATGTGGAACAACCTTCACCTTGGAGTTCAGGACTATATGCCCTTAACAATTAATCTATATAGACAAATAAAGGAGCTTTCTGCTTAATTTGTATGGCAGTTTATGAACAAGAAATTGCAGGAGTCCCCAACTAAAAAACCTTTTTTTTATAGAAGTACTAATATGAATTTGAATAGAATAGGATTTAACCCCCAAATTTACAAAGAAGTTGAGACTGCATTTAACCCTAGAAACATTATGACAAATCTTCCTGAATTTGTATATCTTACTGAAGTCAATTCAGTAGAGTTATGCTTGTGTAACAAAGCTGAAATTGGTTTAACATTCCTCATTTGAAACTATGCAGTGCAAATTGCAAAATTAAAAATATCCAGTAGGTGTCATCTTCCTACATATTGCAGGTATGATAATCAAGTTCAGATTTTTTTTTAAACTGAATTTAAATGAAAAGTAGGAGTCTTACACTCTGCAACGTTTTCTGAAGAATGTGCGTAAAAAAATGTATGAATTTGATCTGATACGCTTTACCAACACTAGGATTTCTTGAATATTTGCAACCTAGTCCTGTTTATGCACAAAATAATTTGCAAATATTCATGTCTGTACTTACATGCCTAAATAACATCTGTAAAATATGCCAGTAAATGCACATATTTAAGCCTGAAAATCCATTTAATGGATTCCATTTAATTCACACGTCCTTAAAGGAACATAAATATGTACTACAGCATTGCCTCTGATCCTGAAGCCAGTATTGCAAAAATAGATTTAAGATCCTCTTTACTGATGAGGATATTAAATGAAGTTGGAAGGGCCTTGGGAGGGAATTCTGTTTCCATAAATGGTGGCTTAAGTAGTTGATTTCTTGAAATGACACCTCATATAAATAAATATTTTCATGCGAATTATTGAGAATTATCAAGTAGCCAGATCTGCTTGATTTACATTGCTTTTAATTTAAAATCAAGTATTTTTATTTATATTCAGCAGCTTCATACTCGGTTGAGGAGTGAAATTCTTCAGGCAAATCTGAATGACTGTGATTCAGCCACCTTCAAATCAAAGTAAAATAAACACTTTCCACATTTTAAACCCTAACCTCTATTTTTTGGTGTGGGGACACTTACTAGGTCAGAGTTACGTCTTTCAGCATGCAATTAAAACATGCACTTTGTCCTTGTCCATGGATTTTGTAATACAATCCTTTAGCAATCTGGCAGTGTTTCTGGCTTTGTTAGCGTGGGGCATTGCTTGGGAAAGTCCCTACGCAATACTGCTGTTGCCTGATCCCAATTCCTTTGAAAATAACAGAGAGACTTCCAAGGGCTTAAGGCATGAGCTCGCCCGGCTCTCCAGGAGGCTGAGCGGTGGCAGATGTTGGGAGGCAGCGGCGGGGCGGCAGGTGCCGACGGGCTCACGGGCCGAGCTCGGCTGCGGCCCGAAACCGGCTTTTAACTGGCTTTTAATTTTTAATCCTGTTTCAGATGGACTAACGTGATTACACGTAGCATTTATTTTTTAATCTTTTGGCTTTCTTTTTTAAAATCGTGCCAGCTTCAAGTTTCCAACAGTCCCCATATCTGCGGCTTCCGTGAAGATCCATGAGGAAGGAAACAGGATTTCCGAGGAAAATGCCTTTACCCCGCCATGAGCCTGCTCTGCGGTCAGGCACGGCGTTCAGGCGGACCTTTTGCCTCACGCACGAAAGAACAGGAAATTCTGCGTAACCCTCCCCTAATTAAAAGCTCATTAGTTCTTCCAGGCGAACCACTCCCTCCGCAGGCAGGTAGCGACTGCCGGAGCGCGGGCAAGGCCTCCCCGAGCTGCGTTGTTGCTCGGGGAGGATTGTGATGCAGGAGCGTCTTTTAGGAACGGGAGGAACTAATGCGTTTAGCTCTTACGTAATAGTAGATGGCGCTTTTTATTTTTTTATTGCGTTGGTACAGAGATAGCGCCGGTGGGGGGGGGGGGAGGTGGGTGCGCCGGGGAACCGCCCGCGCCGCCGCCTGAGGCAGCGCGCGCGCGGAGGACTGGGCGGGGCGTAGGCGGCGCGCGTCCACCCGCCCCCTCCCGCGTGGGAAGCTGGGGGGGTGGGGCCGCGCACTGCGACGCCCGCGCGGCACCGCCTCGCCCCGCCCCCGCGGCCCGGCCGGGGCCGGCGCTGCTGCGGGAGCGCGCACGAAGATGGAGGCGGCGGCGGCGCGGCGGGGGGCCCGGGCGGCGGGCGCGGGGCGGTAACGGCCCCGCCGGCCGCCCTCCCTCCCCCCCGCGCACACACGCACAGGCGCACACCCGGCCCCCCCCCCCCCCCTCCCCGCCCTCCGCTTTTTCGAGAGGCGGGCTGCCTGCCCCCCCCCTCGCAGGGGATGGCGGCGCCGGGCCCTCCGCAGCTCCCGTGGCTGCGGCTGGGCCCGCGGCTGCGGGCCGGGCTGGAGGTCGCGCTGAGGGTGCCCAGCCTGTTCCTCATCGACGCCATCTTCAACTCGTCCCCGCTGCCGGGGGGCTCCCTGTGCGCCGCGCTCCTGGGCGTGCTGCTGCGGCTGCTGGGTGAGAGACCGTCCCCTCCTTCCCCGCCCGCCCGCCGCTCAGCCCCGGCCCCGTGTGCTGGGGAGGGGCCCGGCCCCCTCTGGCCCCCGCGGCCGGGGCCCGCTCGCCGCTTCTCTTCCCCGCTCCTCTTGGCTGCCCTTCCCCCCCGTCTCTGACCCCTTCCTGCCGTCTCCTCCCCGGGCTCACCCATCGCCCCGCGTCGCTGCGAGGCCGCCCGGGGCCCGTCACCCCCCTCCCCTCCCCTCCCTCCCCTCCTCCTGCGCGCCGCAGCCCCGGGCCGGCTCCCCCCGCACCCCCGGAGGTGCCGGGACTGGCGGAGCTGAGCCCCGGGCAGCGCCATGTGCGCGGGGCCGACAGCCCCCGCCGCCGCGGGAAACATGTGACTTCGCGGCTGCACTTTTTTTTTTTTTTTTTTTTTAAAAAAAAGGCACTTTGGATAGTGTGATGGCTTCCTGAAAGACGCTGCTAAATCCTTATTTTAGGAATAGCACTTCAGAAATGCCGGAAATGCGGTTTCCAAACGAAAGAGAAGTCTCTTGAAAACTTGCTAATGGTTATTTTTAAACTTTTCTTCTTCGCGGGGATGAAGGTTGAAATTCACTGGTACAACTAGGTGATACTGTTTTCAGTGGTGCTGCCTTGGGTTCTTGCGTAGCTTCAGGTGGGCTGGAGCCCCATTCTGTGAAACTGCTGTACAGGTGATGCTGCATCGTGTGTTGCGACTCGGAGCTGGGAATCCTGAGACGGGAAGGAAAGGAGGATCCAAAATACAGTGAGAGGGGTTTTTTTTGCAGGCCTGTGACATGTTTATTTGTGGTTTGTTTGATGTTTACAGCAGAAAAACAGGAAGGAAATGGGTGGTAAGGCAGTTGGGGTAGGAAGCTGAGAAGCGAGGTTAAAAGGAAAGGTGCACAGGGAGAAGTGTGGTGATGGCATCGGGGAAGTCGAGGAGCAAAGGGAAAAAGTAAAGGATAAGGTATAGCAAGACAGCCGGTAAGAGGAGAGCACAGCAAGACAGTAACAAAACAAAGCAGGTATTTTATTTGGGCTGCTGGTTCTTTGGTATAGGGTGCCTGGGGACACGGCTGCTGGAATGAGCAGGGAGGCAGGGGAGGTCCTGCCTGCCCTCCCCTGCCCGGCCTGGCAGCAGGTACCGGCGGTTTGGGGAGGGGGAGAAGGGCTTCTTCCGCCCTGCTTCCCAGTTTCTTTGTTTCCTTCTGTTCTGTACTTCTGGAATTGCGAAGAGCAGTTCCCACTGATAATTCCTTTTTAAAAAAATAATGGCGCTGCAGTCATTGTGCCTCACCAGCATAACTGCAGGAGACCTGCGCCCTGTGATCCAGGTGCCTTAGGAAGTACCTTGAAATTAATCCCATGTAAATGAGAATGGTGGATGTGTTATTCGATGAGCTCTCTTAAGTGTGTGATACTGGGATTAACAGATTAAGGCGCTTTTCAGGATTGCATTTATATGATCACTTTTCTGGAAGGGTTTGGGGGAAGAAGTAGCTAATCCCTGCCTGCTGCAAAAGAGGTTTGGGAACAGTTTATGCCAAGAGACTCATCTTGTACTTTGAGACAAGTGGTCTGTGGTTCTGGGTTTTCCAAAATGAAAGAAAAAGTAAAATGTAACCACTTAAAGATGATGTTAAAGATCTTCCAAGTGGTTCAGACAACAGAGTACTTTTGCATCTATTTTTTCTTCCTCTGAATTTAAGGATTACAGGGTTGGTGTTTTTGCTGTTGTTAGGATAAACCGAAATATTTATTTTGGATCATTCTGTTTTCAAATAGTGGGAAAGTTACCCTTTTAGTTACCATTTGCAGGCTTTGAAACTGTTCTAAATGCTTCGTGTAGCACAATACTATTTAGCATAGGATAAACAGACAATTTATCCTCTAGATACAAAGACTGTAGCTCTGGAGAGATTTTATAGCTTTTAGTGATGACATTGAACAGTTCTGAAATATTGTGCGAGTATAGTTCTTCAAGAATGCTAACAGAGATCTGTATGATTTTAAAAAAATTTAACTGCAGGATTCCTTGGTCTGATTACTCCGTACAAGTATCTAGAGCTATACACAGCACAGA